AGCTCCTCGCCAAAAAAGGATCTTAGTAGATTTCTTGGTGGTTGATTTGCCATCCAACTATAATGCAATATTGGAACGACCCATTTTGCACGAGCTAAAAGCTGCTAAAGTCACAAGTCAACATGCTAAGGGGCAGGGCGAACATGCAAGCGGGGAGCCAGACTGAAGAGACCAATCGTTGCGGATCTCTCTGAGATCAACACAACAAAGAAGCACCTCAAGAAAGCCACAAATGAGCAATTGTCCTTTGATGAAAAAGAGGCGGACCTACATCCTTACCTTGGAGTTCTGGTTATCTCATTGCCTGTAGCTGGGATAACCATCACCAAAGTCTTAGTGGATACGGGGAGTGCTCTAAACATTCTTTTCAACAACACCCTCAAATGGATGGGTATCCCTGCTAACTTTCTCCAACCGTACTCAAATATGGTCCTTGGATTAAGCGGAACGCTGACTTCTGCTAAAGGATTGATCAAGCTCGTGTATAAATAGTAGGGCAGAAATCTTGTAAAAGGCAAGTGAATTCATGTAAAAGCTCATGGCACAATTACACTTTCTCAACATATTTTGTGGTTTCTTTCAATAATAATTTCCCCTTTTTCTTAAAGTTGGCTTAAAATTAGCCTTGCTAATTTTGACGCCAACAATATCTAATAGCTATGATGCCATGATGAGGTTGGGAGTTGATACGATACTGATGTTGTGGGAAAATGTTGTTCAAAATCAATAAAAACGGATGTGAAATGTAAATTGGAATTGGAAACCACGAACTTGCCCTATATGACCACATAGGCCACAACGGCATGCAGTCGCATAAGCTCAGTGGACTGATCTATGTGGCCCTTTTTCAATTTTATTTCTAGTGAGTTTTGGAGGGTATTTTGCAACTCTTCATCATGTTTTGGCACCAATTCGTAGGGGTATTGATCAAGGCCTATATGTAGGTGATGAGATGATCAATACATTACATTACCAACAATTAAGAAATATTACTTCATTCTACAAAAGGATCAAAACGTCATTTCTTCCATGTTCATATGATTTTCCTCCTTGTGTTATTATAGTTTGGGGGAATCACACCAATGTTTAGTGTTGAATTCTCTACAATGTTTGATTAATCTTACAAACCATTTGTTGTGAGATCCTTTGAGCACCGAAATTGATCCGAGAGGGGGCAGATATCGTTTGAAGACAACGATATTATGTTCAAGCCTTCATATTTTTTTTTTCATCTTCTTGATATATTTTCTATCTTTTTTTTTTTGTGACAGAGAAAGGAACTGCTATGGCGAAAATCAAGTTGATGAATCAAGTTTTGTTCGTTTGGAACAACGTTGAAGAGATTTTACACACTTGATCTAGAATTGGCACCTTTATCAGAATCCACACTTCTTCCACAAAAGAAATTTGAATTGCTTTGGAAAGAAATGTTGAAGAATGAAGGATTGAATCCGTCATCAAGTATTCGACTTCCGTAATTATTTTCCCTTCTCAATTTTCATTTTGAATGCATATGTGCATGATCGTATGTCGAAAGTTGTTAAGCAACGTGTTATTTCCTTTGTGGTTTAAGTTGAAACTGGAAATTGGTTTTAATTAACTAGGATAAAATGGTTGTACATGTCTTTTGATCCTTGTGGCTAATGATTTACAAATTGTGATAAGTAGAATACTTTAAAGAAGTATGAACATAATGAGAAAAATGAAAGGATGTGAATTTCCAAAGTATGTGAATGTTACTATATGTGGAAATGAAATAATTTGATTATTCTCGCTTTCTCATGACAATTGGGAATGATTCATATGCATAAGATAGTAGTGTTTGAGGAATGCCAACTATTTGTTGATGGAATATGAGCTTCATGAGTATTCCTTTTATTGAAATATGAAAACGACACATTTGTTGATTGATTTCGTTAACTTTGGTTAATGATGAAAGCCTCAATTAAGTGAAATGATTTATGCAAAGTTATATTTGCATATGAATATGATAGAATGTGATTTTGTTCAAATGTGAATAAGGTGAACATGTACCTTATGATTTGATATGATACTATCTTATGGAATGTTACAAAAGTGAGAGGTTACATATTCTTGAAGAATTTGTAATTCTTGTGAATCAAGATGCTTAGTCTTCTTCGTTGATTGAATTTGACTTCAATTGTGGAACCAATTGAGTTGGCTTATGCTTGAAAAGCATTGTTGGTCTATGAGATGACATTGATCAAATTGTGTGCGATCAAAATTAAAGATAGTTGGATTGAAATACATTGTGACTTAACAACCACTATCAGAAAGTATTTAGACTTTCACGGATATTATCAAAGCGATAAGTGAATTGAACTATGAAAGAGTTGATGAACTCTAAGTTCAAATATAACCTAAAATGTGGGGGTTAACATTAATGCTTTTGAATTTATATGAAAAGTTCAAAACGTAGGGATGCAATATTACTAGATTGCATATGTATTCCTAATTAAAGAATTGTGGGAATAACTTAGTTTTAAAGTTACTTATACCTTTTAATCATAGAAAGATATCTATAAAGGAGAAAATGTAGAAAATCCTTATACAATTATAAGGATGGTTAAAAGCATATAGCTTCATAAGAGGATTTCTTGGTGATGATAAGTTGTATCTATTAAATGAATCAATGGTTGGCTAGCTACATTTAATAAGATACTAAGTCACATGTGATGGAAAGTTTAGACATATAAGTCTTAGACGTGACTTCATAAGGAAATTAAAACAAAGATGGAATAATTTCCCTAAATTATGTAAAGTCAATCAAGAACTCAGTGGATCTTTAACTAAACCTCTAAATAGAGATTTTGTAGCATCTTATTCGAATAGAGTGGGGTTGAAACTCCTAAACTAAAAGGTCCGTCAATGAAGGCAACCCTACTTGTCATTACTCAAAAGGTAATCCACAGGTTCAAAGGGTAATAACAAGTCATTCAATATGTAGATAATTTTAACATTATTAAAATTCGCAATAACCCTATCATAATAAGTAATGCTGGTTGTTACTGAAGTGAGGGTTGAGATTTAAGTTCTTAATAAAGTTTAGTACTATGTACATGTATCTCTAAAAATAACAAAGATATTGGAAGAACTTCACCTAAACGAACTTCAAGGTAGTGCCACCTTAATAAAAAGTTAGAGTTTATCTTTTAAAAGTTTGTTGAAAAAGATAAGCGCAAGATCATATTAGCACTAAGCGAGTTGAGGAACTTAAGAACCCGTGATATTTGTGTGTGTGCTCTTACCGGTATTGTCATATGTAATGACTAGTTCAAAGTCTCTCGCTACCTTTGATTCCGACTTTACTTTGTTTGAATTACATTATGGTTAGATTCAAACTGAAAGATATCTAATCTTTATACATAAGCTTTGTTAACTTTGAAAATTAGACTTAATGAATTTTGAATAAGTGGGGAATTGTTGGAAAATGTTGTTCAAAATCAATAAAAATGAGTGTGGAATGTAAATTGGAATTGGAAACTAATAACTTGGCCTATGCGCCTATGTGGTCAAGGGCATGCAATCGTATAGGCTTATGCAACCCTGCTGCAAACTGATCCATACGGTCGCATAGAGTTAGAAATAGCCGTTGAGGGCCCTTTTTCAATTTTATTTCTGGTGACTTTTGGAGTGTATTTTTTCAACTCTTCACCACGTTTTGGCACCAATTCATGAGATATTGATCAAGGCCTATATGTAGGTGATGAGATGATCAATACATTACATTACAAACAGGTGAGAAATATTACTTCATTCCACAAAATGATCAAAACTTCATTTCGTCCATATTCATATGATTTTCCTCCTTGTGTTCTTATAGTTTTGGGAAATCACACTAGTGCTTAGTGTTGAATTCTTTACAAGGTTTGATTAATCCTACATACCATTTGTTGTGAGACCCTTTGAGCACCGAAATTGTATTCGAGAGGGAGCAAATATTATTTGAGGACAACGATATCGTATTCAAACTTTCATATTCGTTTGCATCTTCTTGATATATTTTCTATCTTGTTTCTTCTCCGTTTCCCTGGTGTTGAAATATTTCCCAGCAAATGCTCCAACGGCTCCACATTAAATTAATAACTATGACCAGAAATTTATTTACAAGTGCATTTATCTATTAAAAGTGATTATAAACCGTGGACGAAATCAAAATTTTATACTTCATGCACTTTAAATGAAGAGACTTTTTCCCGCAGAACATCAAAGGGAAGAGAAAAATCCTTCATGGCTGCAAAAGTGAGAACTATCACACAGTTCAATGGGTTGACACAAGAATTATGCTAGAGCTTCCGGATATATACACAAAGCAAAAACACAATAAACCCTCATTCTCTCCTTTATAATTCATCCTAATACACGAGTGACTGAGTGTAACCATGATGTTTTCTTATCGAATATTATTGCTAAGAATAAAAATATATGTACCAAGGGGGGTTACTGAACCGTGTCCCCCCACCCCTCACAAACACACGGGCCCTTGTGATATTAAGAAATCCTAGCCGTGGTTTCCAACCCATGTTGTGAGCAATAGATAAAAGATTATGTACGTGTAGAATGATTATTGCTGCCAATAGGTCTGAATCAGTTGACCACGTAACTAGCTATTTTATAAATGGGTTGGCGGCCGGCCCCACATCAGCTTCAGCTAGCTAATTCCTAATTAAAGATTCATAAGAAAATTCAAATCTTAACCAAGTCTTCCATCCTGTATGCAGTTACACTTGATACACGACTATACTAAAAAAAATTATTATAAAATTAATATAGATATAAACAAATGGTATGATGAGATAATTTTCTTTTTTTATTCAAAAGAAATATCATTTAGACTACCAACCGTACAACGTAATATTAAGTGGTGAAGATAGTATTAGACCGAATAAGATAACAAGTATAAATGATACATTTTTTATTAAAATTTAAAAATTAATACTTTAGTATACCATAATATCATTTACCAAATGCAATATTTGACGTTTTCTTCTGCGGCTTATATACAATATGGCGAGTGAAAATGGCATAGTAGTAGTACTAAAGGATAAAGAGACACATAAAGACTACATTTAGCTGTGTGTTCTTTGGCAACTTTACAGCAGAAACTACATTTACAAAATACTTCTGCCTTCACAAATAAGGCCTATGGCAGAGAGGCCAATCCCCTCCCCCAGCGTCTATGACACACAGAATATCAACACATGCAAAAATTTCCAATCTCCAGACTCCGAGAGTGCACCAGCTTACCATGCCAAATCAATTTATTATGCTATGCTTCATTTGTCTCCACCTGTCCAGTGCTGCCCCTATCAAGGACATTATCAGTTATGATTCCCTAAAATTCAATACAGATTTTTTTTTTTTTTTAAATAGAGAAAATAAGGTATAAGTTACCCTAAATTGTCTGTCCTCCTTAAGACTAGATGATCAAATATGCTACTCCTCCCATGAACAGCAATGGAGATGCAGAAATAGTGAATATCGCTACCTTTCAATGATTTTAAAGTGCTGCTTCTATATCAGATGAATAACAAGTTTCAGTTAAAAGATTTGTGTGTCAATGGTTGGAACTAGAGAAATTTTGTTAAGATGCATCCTACAAGGATTGAACATAAATAACATATGGTTTCTGTAAGTATCAGAACCTGCAAGTTATCCTGGGTGAGAAAACAATTCTGAATGTGATGGGGTCTGAAATGCAATTGCCCCTGTAAGCATGCAAAGGAAATGATTTGACAATATAATGATGACACTAATTCTTATAATAGGTCAAGATTTTATACATAATGAATCTCTTGATTCATTTTTCAGATTTTTTCCAATTTTTTTGGGTCCACATCAGTGCTGCCTTATAGGTTCCCATCACACATGAACCAAGTTCTTATTCATAATGTATAACATTATACTTACCAGGCCATGCAATCTTTGTTGAGGAAGACAAGGAGTATCCTGCATTGGTGTTGTTCAGTTCAATTGTCCCTATGAGAAGAGTAAGATTCAATTCAAATATTAAAGCTTGGAAAGGAATTAAAGTGTAAAGTTGAGTCACCAGCCCATGAATGCTTCTTTGGTTGCTATAATAATAGTTGCTACTTGAAGCAAATGTGTTCATCTGCTCCTGCAACAATAATGAAAATAAGGAGCGAATTCATAGTACTGGCTCAAATAAAATGGAGACAAGAAATGGTATTTGCATACTGCTCGATGAACAATCTCTTTGGAACCACAAAGGCCTCCAGGTGCTGAAACCCTCGAGTTTAATTGTCCCTACAAGCATCACAAAATTTGGGTCTCTAAGACAATTTATTATTCAACTTACAATTGAAGCGAGCAGGCAAAAAAAAGAAGAAGCCTAGACTGCACTGCATTGTGATTATAGATAAAGACACCATACCGTCCCTGGTATGCTTTCTTGCAATCCATAAGAACAATCAAGGGCTGGTGCTTGAAAGTTTGAGTACCCCTACAACAAATGATACACCACAACAATCCAATTAAATCTCACAGCCAACAACTATTTCAAGATTACAGGTAAATTAAATCTCACAAAAAGGATCAGAATTAAACCATTTTATCCCAGCCATCATTTATCCCTTTGGTTAGTGTCTCTTGCTCGGGATGCACCTAAAATTAACAAAACCAACTCTCCATATATGTACACTACTAGAATAGTGAAAAACGTGTGAACAGAAAGTAAAAAGAAAGCAAAGAAAACAACTTTCACCTTCCCTTTTCCGAAGATGTTGCTCTTTATTTTAGTCTTGCTTTTACAGTTACCATGGGTCACATCTTCAAAGACATGAAGGTTGTGATCTGAGGGAGAACTGGGCCCTTGAACTGAATTATTTATGCTCTTGCACTTTAACAAAGCTTTCTCCATCGCAACAAATGCAATATTGTAGCTCTCTGGAGATATTGACCCTTCATCACCCAGTTTCAACGCCCGCTGGCATATGTCATTGTAGAGTTGAAACCTAGAATCCCCTAAATCTAGTTGTCTCATCGTTTCCCTACTCTTTGCATCCTTTGTCCAGCGTTTTAAAATATACTTGTCTGGGATACTATGCACACCAGAAATTTGCAGAACAATCATCACATGTCTACAAAGGAAACCATTGTATTCAAATAAGTGGCAAGTGCAAGAAACATCAGACGTCTTTTCATTCCATGTCACACTATAGTCTTGATTTTCTTCAAAGTCTTGGACCTTGAATGTTGCGGTTAAACCATCTTCACTTTCTAGTTTAGGGTGACAAGCAACTACTCCCAAAACCTCAACCTGGAATTTCTTAAATACAGCATGAGTGTACCTTGTTGCCATTTGTTTCCCATAAGGTGACGGAGAAATCAGTCCTGGTGGTTTACTCCATGTCTCAATATCAGCTTTTGCTTCATCTTCGTACTTCTCGAGTAGCATTGTTTTGTACTGGTGTAAAAATGCATTCAATCTAGTTTTACGCAGCAAGCATTTATCTAAAGAGCTTATGCTTTCCAGACGTTGCTTTGTAGACAATCCTGCCAAAAATATATTTTTCATAAATGTTGGAACCCATCTTAGGCGGTCATCATACAATGACTGAATCCAAGTGTCTTTTTTTAAGTCAAATGTGTCCACCACTTTCCACCAACTATATTCAAAATGTTCTTCGGATTGTGACTTTAAAATGCATTTACTAAATTCAGACATAAAGTTTTCATGCTGCCTCATCACATATGCAAGCTTTTCCTGAATCTTACTCAATATGTGCCACAAACAAAAACAATGGCGAGAATGTGGAAGCACTTCAGCTATGGCTTCTTTCAATTTTTGGTCTTGATCAGTCAGTATCACTTTTGGAGCTTGACCGTGCATCGCTCTAAGCCAAGCTTGTATGAGCCAACCATAAGTAGATTTAGTTTGATCACCAAGTAATCCACATCCAAGTAACAGCAATTGAAAGTGATTGTTCATGCCAATAAAAGGAACAAATGGCAATTTAGATTCATTCTTTTTATACGTAGTGTCAAAGAACACCACATCTCCAAAGCTTTCATAATCGAGCCTACTTTTTGCATCAACCCAGAACACATTTTTCAAACGTCGGTCCTGATTTAAATCTATTGCATAGAAGAAGTTGGGATTCTTGTCTTGCATGTGCAACAAAAATTCAACCATAACTTGTGCATCTCCATCTCCAAAATCTAAATGTGATCCACCAGAGCTTGCAATGCTGCTCTTTTGATTCTCAGTTTTCTTCATCCCACTAGACTCTCTAGAAATTGACATATACGGATTTTTCGTCTTTGCCCTGATACCATGCGTGGCATTGATATTGTTCTCGTAAAAATTCATATTCCTTTGACTTTCAAGGTAATTAGCCTGTTCTGAAAAAACTTCATGGTTGTGCTCCCGTACAAAACTATGAACAATCCACCTTCCATCCTGCCTTCGCTTGACATGCATGCAAGCTTTGCAATCTGTTTTAAACCAGGACCTGTTCGTTCTACCTCGTTTTTTCTTCACAGGGATGCTTTTTGTGACATCCGCAATTGGCATAGGTTCTGAATTTTCAGATGAACTAGGTCCTTGTTTGCTTCCATATCTGGTACACACAAATTTTGCATCAATAAATTTTCCAGATATTCTTGATCGACGACTGGCCTTTGTTATGGTGGAAAATCCAACAGATTTTGCATATTCTTTATAAAATGAAAACGCATCCTCCTTGGATTGAAATTCCATGTCATCATGTGGTTCCAAATATGTATAAAAATCAATGGCCAGCTCATCTCTATTGGGCACTTTTTGTTTGCTATTTGATGATCCCGAGATCACATCAGGTCCCACTTGCTCTTTATCATGCACAAAAATACTGGGAGCACTAAAAGTTGTTCCATCCCCATTCTGTCCTTCAATTCTAGCATCGTTCATACATATGTAAACATCTGGCTCATTGTCCTTGTCTTTTCTATCATTGCCTGATGGCAGTCCTAGGTCAATTATCATTGGGAAAAACCACTTCTCGTTTCTTTTTCCTACACGATATATCTAGCAAGTCAGCCAGGTGAAGAAATGATCACTGCTCATTCTGGACAACAAAAAATAGAATTGGTACACGAAAAATCCATTTCAAACTGCCCAAAATCCTCAATGATCATATAGCAATGTAAGGATAATATTAAATTAAAAGAGCTTTATATTTTACTTCAGGTCTACCAAGATTCATTAGCACAGCCAAATCTCCATCCGGAATGGCTAACTAATAAAGCTAAGCCCCTTAGCATGCAAAGCTAGAGCTCAAACACAAGCATATATGTCAGTCTCAAAGAACATGACACAAGCTTTAGAAAGGGTGTCCAAATTGCCTATAAAATGAAAAAATTGTTACGTTATTCAATCGAATTGTTATAGATTTTGAGAGAGTCATACCTCAAAAGCTAGTTGTTTAAGTAAGAAAGCCAAACTATATATAAATCGCATGCCGAAAGCCAGTTCTTTCAATGTGGGATCTAAGTCTCATAAAAAGGGGAACCATGGCACGAACCAAGACCCAAAATTATGCTATCTCTCAGCCTTGTACAATACTAGTTATCTCCAGTAAATAATCAAAGAGGAGGAAAAACAGGAACTTAATTTCATTAAAGCAGAACACTAAATCAGCAATCACACACGCATAGCTCACCAACGTTAAAAAGATACACTTAAACTCCAGTGATTTGATTACAAAGTTTCCGAGAACGTTCCAGCATAATTGACATTTTAGCAACATTACCGCTTCAAACTCTTTCCACCATTAAAAAATAAACAAAAACAACAACAACAACCACCACCAAACTAAACCCCAAGTAAGCAAACAAATGTCCAGTTCAAAAATACTAAAACATTCAAAAATGCATGAATGTGCGTAGAGAGAGAGAGAGAGAACTACTTTATAGAGTAGAAAATTGAATTCTTGAAGATCGCAGTAGAGAATGGCGAAAGCGAGATTGGGGGCGAGTACCAGGCTAGGGCACCCGGGAATAGATTACCGTACTCGCAATTACACCTTCACTTACTCGCGGGCCCCTTTGGGTTGCTGGGCCAGTCCTCCCAATTTTGTTCGTAGTTGGGCTTATATATGTTGGTTAAAATATGATTTGTTAAGAAATTAATTCAAATTCAATAATTAATTTTAGTGGAGGTTATGCAGGCTACCTGTTTTCTTTTTTTATAAAATTTCTATAATTACATGTTAAAGAATTTTATCCCACAAATACTACAACATTGTAGTAAAAAAGAAAAATATTAAATCAATTAACTCCTAAACGAAATAATCAATCGACGATTGATTTTACTCTACCAAACAAACCTTTCATAGACGTTAATCAAATTATCAAAGTCAAAATTTTCAAATTGGTGACTCTTGGTATTCACTTGTATTCGCCTTCATCTAGAATTCTCTCAAGAAATCTAAATTCTTGTCACGAATTGATATTTTATAGATACGAAGAACATTTTAATCCTAATAATTTTTCATAATCCATGTTTCTAATCACCATTTTTGGCATGATTAGGACTTTATCGCTAATATAAAACCTTAATTGGCACTACACCAACACCACAAAACAATCAAATCGAAGCTAATCTGTTGCAAAACAAGTTGTACTCGAAGATCCATCGACAATTGGAAACACAATACAGAGGTTAGAACTTGGGGTCCAACAAGAACAAGCAATCTGTAGAATATAATAATTAATGTTGTATTAATTATGTTAACATTAGTATTCTCTGTTTTCAGTAAAATTTTATCTTGAAGTTGATTCTAATATGACTTGTTGACAATGTGGGAGTTAGAAAGATGAGTGGTGTCGTTATATAGCCGATACGTATGTAGAAAATGAATCATGTGATGTCGTTATATACGTAGTGGATTAAAAAAAATTGTAATGTACATTCGCTTCAATTCTATCAAATCTGTTCTTCAAGTAGACAAAGTGAAACACTATTGGCGTACCTAGGTTTGTATTAGATTAATTAATTTTAATGAGTGTAATGTCTTGTCAATGTCCAATGTTGCATCATTGTACATAATCTATCAATCTATAATTGACTTTGCTTTACAGCTTACTTATATTAATTTTTTTCCTAATTGGTTAAACCGAAACTTGATCCGAAAATTTCTAGTATCTAACAACGTTTGGCACTGTACCTAAGTTCTTATTAGATTAATCAATTTTAATGAGTGCAATGTTTTGTCAATGTCCAAGGTTGCATTGTTGTACATAATCTGTCATTAAGGTTGCTTTACAGCTTACTTATATAATTTTTCTCCTAACTGGTTAAACCAAAACCTGATACGAAAATTTCGAGTATCAAACAATGTTTGTTATATTATTTCAGTCATAATTGTGGATTGTTTATGATAAAGTTTGTTGAATACATTATAAACGGGAAATACATTCTCTTGTTTCATTATCAAATGCATTATACAGATATATTTCTTGTAATCATCTTCTCAGTTGTTTATAGATTTCCAATGAAGAATTGAATATACCTTATGCGAATTAGAATTCGAAATCATTTTTTGAAAACATTACCATTACATAGTAAGCCAGAAATTAGTTTTTTGTAGTAGGGCATATATGAATTTTTCTGTAACTTCAATCACATATTTTATTGGATTCACAATGAAAAAATGATTTCTTCAAATTGTTTGTGGTTTAGAAGTTGAAAATTTTGAGTTTGCATTCAAAATTATTTTATTTAACAAATATGTGGTTAAAAGTGAAATTGAGCAAAAACAAATTTTAAAGAATGGTCTCAAACGTGGACTAAATCAAACGAATGGATAATCCTTGCTTAGAACACCTTATATTATTATTAGGAAGAGAAATGCAATTTATTAGTGGATTCTGCTAATAATAAATAAGAAGAGGGAGCATTGCTCCTACAAAGATTTTTGACAAAGAATCTTGTCTTCTAATCCAAATCAATTCAATGGTTCAAATTTATTTTTTCAAAAAATAAAAATAAAAAAAATTCAGAAATTGGATCCACCCCCAATAGGGGTTACTCTTGATATGATTCTTTTGATTTATCAATCCAGGTTTCACTGACCAGGTATAAGATCAGTGCATCAAGAATTAAAGATGTTTGAAGCATGTGATAATTATGATTTATAATATCAATGCAAAATAATAATAATAATAATAATAATAATAATAATAATAATAATAATAATAATAATAATAATAATAATAATAATAATACGGTTACACAATTCAAGTCTATGAGTTATAATTAAATGATGTCAATTTTTTTACAGACAATTTCCATTTCAATGCATGTGTTTTCATGAGAAAATTTGGATTCCCAGTTGCTTTCAATTCGGAATAAGATGGAATTAAGTTTCTATAGTGCTACAGCATCAAAGTCTCTTAGATGGTTGAGCTTTTTTAGGAATACTAGAAAAATAATTTGTCCCTGAAATCAATATAAATCATTCAAATAAACCAGCAAAGTCTTTTTGGAAAACTTTTGATGTCTTCTACGCCGGAAGAGGCCACGTGTTTTTTCATTAAACGGTTCCTATTCATTCTACTATAAAAACTTACAAACTATGATATTCCAAAGTTAATGCAAGTTTAGACTTTCAAATTACAACTTTGCCATCTTTTACTTAAATCTACTTACATGGACGCGAAAGGCCTTGGGATCTGTTAGCCACCTCGATGATACAAAATTGAGGTCTATAGTATCATCACCCCTTAGGGATTCACTCAACTTTTCATTGGGAAAAAAGTTGGTATTATTAGAAGTTGAAGTTGTTAAGATAGGGATTGGTCATAGATGTTTGTTTCTTGCTTTAATCTTTGCATCAAGTTGAAGCTACCAAATGTGAACAACTGAGTACAGGTTTCAAACCTCCCACTGAATAAAGAGGAAAGGAGTTGGCATTACTTTAAAGGTAAACTTGCTATAAATCTCTATGGTTTCTTTTGCTTGCATTTACTCAAGTTTTTTTTTTTTTCCTTTTTTATAAAATGCAAGCCAGCAGGGTGATAGATTTGCGACTTGCCTTTCCAAGTGCTTGAGAAGAGGATGTTATTGTAAAACATGGCTCACAGACCAGGTAGAATTGTCACATTATCACAGGGAATGCATACATCAATGCTATTGTGAGCTTTATGTATTCCCATTATTGTAATAGACGACATCGAGTTGCCTTTAGAAGATCTTACAGACTACAGAAAAATTACCATTTTTAACACTGTTGTTAAGCCTGGTCACTTGGCTAAATTAGTAAAAAAAATCTCCTAGAATTGTTCATCTTTTCACTTAGAATTCTTCTTTGCTACAACTCAAGATATTCGATAGTTCTTTGAGCAAATTACCCAAACTCCATTTGAGAGGTGCTTGACTACTACACAAACTCGTGTGTTGACACCCCTATGCCTAATAACTTCGAGATGCCAAATGTCCAACCATATCTTTGGCAAGCAGAACATTGCTCGGCTTCAGGTCACAATGTACCACCAACGTTAGATAATTATTGTGTAGGTCATCTAGTGCTCAAGCCACATCTATCATTATGTTCAGCCTCTGTAGGATGTGTAAGTGTTAAGCCCTAGATCCAATCGATTTAGGTTGTAAATGCTTTTAACATGTTTAATGCATTTAATTTTGGCGAGATCTATTATTTATTTAAATTAATTTTGTGATAAATAATATTAAATAATAAAATCCGAAGATCCAAGTTTAAGTGATTTGTTAATCACAAGGAGTTGTGATTGTGAGATACAAATTACATGTAATTGGATCTTGAATAAACCGTGGTCGTAAGTAATAACGAGATACGGATATCGTTAATACAATTAGATCATCACGTGTGGCATTTCTTACTTATGAAGTAAGTAGCTGATTTCACGAGTTAAAGTGTGGTGACACTTAAATGAACACATGGATGTTTTATTATAGAACAAAATATTGGAGACCCGCTAAGAGATTCCACATGGATAACTATCTGAGTGTCAGTGGTTAATCTCTAACGTTCGGTAATGAAATTGGTCCTACAACTTGAGGTCATCATAGTGCCTTGTATGAGGACAGTCATACTTTAACGGTGTTGGATGTTGCTGTGACGCTCCGAACTTAAGCTTCGAGGGTCACATACTAAACATAATAACTTCTGCCTTTGGTACATGTAAATACTCTTATATAGAAGTATTACATGTTAGAAACTTATTTTTTCAATTTGATAAAACAATTCTTATAAAATTTGATGGCCGGTAAAAGTGCATGCCAACATGAAATTAGACATTACATATACGGCCTCAGCATTTGGGGCATCAAGTTTGACAATTTTTATAAAATTCATCCCAACTCCGTTTTCTATGAAATTTGTGGCATTAGAAATATAATTTCAATTAGTTTTCTAGGTTAAAATATGAAAATTTTCCAAGATCATATGATATAGACGTTTTACTGAAAACAGTGAAGTATTACACTGGGAATCCAGATTGACCCCTTGACGTTAAAACCTTGATAACTCAGGCCCTAGATATCCAAATTGAGTGATTCCTTCGGCCATATTTAGAAAACTCAAAGAGAAAAACAGAAATATTTTTAGAGTCTCAAATGGACGTTTATAGAGTTAGAAACATCGTTTTGAAAATGACTCCAGAAACTGTCCCATTTCTGCCTTTTGTCTCTTGTAAGGAAAATAAACTACAAAAATGTCTCTTAACATAACATGAAAGATATAATTACAAAATTTACTATTAATACCATATTTCATCATGTCATGTACATATTTTTACATAGTGCCATAAGAAAAATAAATGGAAAAATAGTCATCGAGCAAAACATACAAAAGAAAACTTTCGGTACAAAGCATCTGTCCTTAATCCATCATCGCGTAAGCCAACTAACTTCCATCAATTC